ATGTCTGAGTCCAGCACTGCCCACTTCAAAGATTCCTGTTCTCAGATTTGTTCTATGTGGGATGGGGATGTGAGGCCATTGGTTCCATACATTTCCCAGGGGGAGAGTCTGGGATCATTCCCATTTCACAGTTACTCAGCTAGAAAGCAGTGGGATCCGGGTCTGAGTCCAGATCAGAACACCTTTTTTTTTGTTTTTTTCTTGAGACAGAGTTTCACTCTTGTTACCCAGGCTGGAGTGCAATGGCGCGATCTCGGCTCACCGCAACCTCCGCCTCCGGGGCTCAGGCAATTCTCCTGCCTCAGCCTCCTGAGTAGCTGGGATTACAGGCACGTGCCACCATGCCCAGCTAATTTTTTGTATTTTTAGTAGAGATGGGGTTTCACCATGTTGACCAGGATGATCTCGATCTCTTGCCCTTGTGATCCACCCGCCTCGGCCTCCCAAAGTGCTGGGATTACAGGTTTGAGCCACCGCGCCCGGCTTCTTTTAAAGACGGGTTTTCACCATGTTGGTCAGGCTGGTCTTGAACTCCTGACCTCAGGTGATCCACCTGCCTTGGCTTCCAAAGTGCTTGGATTACAGGTGTGAGCCACCACACCCAGGCTGTTTTAGGCGGAATCTCACTCTGTTGCCCAGGCTGGAGTGCAGTGGCACAATCTCGGCTGGCTGCAACCTCCACCTCGAAGGTTTAAGGGACTTTCCTGCCTCAGCCTCCCGAGTAGCTGGGATTACAGGCGCCTGCCGCTATGCATGGCTTGGATCAGAGGCTTTGTTGAGCTGTTAACCAAGTTGTCAATCTCCCACCCTCTGCTTCCCAAAACTCACAGCACCATGAGACCCTCTGACCCCTTCCCTCTTCCCTAGCTAGGCTAGAGCTGGGGGAGGGTGTGCTGGGGCGTCCCACTTCTCAGCTTTGGGCTACAAATAAGTCAGCCCTGGAATTCCCCTGAGCAGAAGCAGCCCTGGACTTCCCCAGGGGAAGAGAGGATGAGGAACAGAATATACATCTTGACGGGGTGGGAGTCCCTTAAGCCTTGATGCATTGGCACAGGGCCAAGTTCCCAAACCATCCTGATCGGGCCCTGAGGCCAGGTGCTGTGCTGGGCCAAGATACACCTGGCAGGTGGCCGCTATAAAGTTTCCTGTTTTACAGCTGAGAAACTGAAGAGACCCAATTTAGCCGAGTAAGGCGGTGGCTCACACCTGTCATCCCAGCTATTCCTGAAGCTGAGGCAGGAGGAAGGCTAGACCCCAGGAGTGCAAGACCAGCCTGGGCAACAATACGAGGCCCGCCTCTCCCCTCCATCTCCAATCCCTCACCCGTTTTTAAAGCTGCAATCCACAGCCCGAAGCCACGCGTGGAGGTGATTCAGGGTCTGGATACAAGGCGGTTGCCTTTCAATCGCTGTCTCTAATCTCACCGTCCCATAAACAGCTAACTAGTTATGCATGACCTGATCTCCCCGCGAGCTGGGAATCGGTCCTCCCGGGGATTCGGGTAGTCGGCCCGACGGCAATCCCCACCCCCGACTCACCTGGGAGCAGAGCCGCGAGCAGGATCAGGAGGGCAGGCAGCGCTGGCCGGGGGCCGCTGGGAGCCATAGCAAGGCAGAGGTTGCAGCCCCGAGGCGAGGCGCAGAGGAGCTCAGCGCGGACTGGGATGCGAGAGGCGCGCGGTCCTTTATAAACGCCGGCCACCTAGGGGCCAAGGGGCGGCGCTGCTTTCCGGGAAACCTCGCGCTTTCCCCTCCCGAACGAGGGCTGAGGTATTTCCGGACTGAGAGGGTGCCTGGCCCGAGCAGGGTCGTCGTCCTCGCTGGCCGCTCCAGCTCCGGAATTTCCAAGCTAAAGCAGTGGGGCGGCGGTGGCGGATTGACGACCCCGGGGGCTGCTCCCGGCCCCCACACGTCCCGTTCCCCGGCCAGGCTAAGCTTGCATCAGTCTACAGCGCCCTAAGCGGTTTATTAAGTACTATTAAGTATTGCCAACTTCCCCGGACGGTGGGGACTGTTCGCGTGTTCATTTCACAAAGCGGCAGCGTGAAGCTCCGAGCTGCGAAGGGCTCCAAACTCAAGTCCTCCCTCCCCAGCACACGCAGGTCTCTTCGATCCAGTGGATGAGCCCCTTGCCTGGGTGGGGGCCCAGGAATCCTCCCGGGCTCTCTCCACTGAAGGGTCCCCCTCCCACTTAGGGTCATGTACCCGCCAAGCTGACACGGACTTTTCTCGAAAAGCGGCCGGAGCAGAGCCAGGCACCTCCCGGGGCCCGCGTAACCGTGTGAGTGACGATGTGCGTCTCACCACGCCCGGCGGAATCGGCGTTGTCTCTGCACACCCGAGGGTGCTGACACCCCCACGGCCTCCTCGCTTCCCCTTTCGGCTGGCCTTGGCCGCGGGGGGCGTCTTTACAGGTCCCAGAAAAAGGAAGGAAGCTGCGCGATACCCGCGCGCTGAGCCCCTCCGCCGGCGTCCCAGGCTCCGCGGGGAAAATGAGGCAGTTAGCGTGGACCTTGACGAGGGAGGGGAGAGGGGGCCCTCGAAACCCCTGCCTGCCCCTGGGAAACTGAGGCAGCTCCCAGGCGCCGAGGCGAGGCGGGGAGAGGGGGCGCTCAGACCCTTGCTTGCTGCTGGGAAACTGAGGCAGCCTCCAGGCTCCCAGGCGAGGCGGGGAGAGGGGGCGCTCAAACCCCTTGCCCTCCGCGGGAAGCTCCTCGAACCTAGGCGTGCACTAAATATGGGCGGGTGTATTACATCTCTATCTCTTGTCCTACCTCCTGCCACCACACTCGTAAGTAAGTAATAGTATTGAACCGAGAAAAAGCCAATAGTAGGCAGTAGCCGACATACACACCCACCATCCACCAATAGTTGAGTGGGTTGAGAGAGATATCTCTCTCTTTCCTCCTCCCCGACAGCTTTTTTTTTTACGACCGGGAGGTGAATCATCCGCGAATATTGGTGTATGTAGAGAGAGATGAAAAAAGACAACGAAAGCAACGGCCAATCCACATGATTAGTGCACGCCTAGGTTCGAGGAGCTTCCCGCGGAGGGCAAGGGGTTTGAGCGCCCCCTCTCCCCGCCTCGCCTGGGAGCCTGGAGGCTGCCTCAGTTTCCCAGCAGCAAGCAAGGGTCTGAGCGCCCCCTCTCCCCGCCTCGCCTCGGCGCCTGGGAGCTGCCTCAGTTTCCCAGGGGCATGCAGGGGTTTCGAGGGCCCCCTCTCCCCTCCCTCGTCAAGGTCCACGCTAACTGCCTCATTTTCCCCGCGGAGCCTGGGACGCCGGCGGAGGGGCTCAGCGCGCGGGTATCGCGCAGCTTCCTTCCTTTTTCTGGGACCTGTAAAGACGCCCCCGCGGCCAAGGCCAGCCGAAAGGGGAAGCGAGGAGGCCGTGGGGGTGTCAGCACCCTCGGGTGTGCAGAGACAACGCCGATTCCGCCGGGCGTGGTGAGACGCACATCGTCACTCACACGGTTACGCGGGCCCCGGGAGGTGCCTGGCTCTGCTCCGGCCGCTTTTCGAGAAAAGTCCGTGTCAGCTTGGCGGGTACATGACCCTAAGTGGGAGGGGGACCCTTCAGTGGAGAGAGCCCGGGAGGATTCCTGGGCCCCCACCCAGGCAAGGGGCTCATCCACTGGATCGAAGAGACCTGCGTGTGCTGGGGAGGGAGGACTTGAGTTTGGAGCCCTTCGCAGCTCGGAGCTTCACGCTGCCGCTTTGTGAAATGAACACGCGAACAGTCCCCACCGTCCGGGGAAGTTGGCAATACTTAATAGTACTTAATAAACCGCTTAGGGCGCTGTAGACTGATGCAAGCTTAGCCTGGCCGGGGAACGGGACGTGTGGGGGCCGGGAGCAGCCCCCGGGGTCGTCAATCCGCCACCGCCGCCCCACTGCTTTAGCTTGGAAATTCCGGAGCTGGAGCGGCCAGCGAGGACGACGACCCTGCTCGGGCCAGGCACCCTCTCAGTCCGGAAATACCTCAGCCCTCGTTCGGGAGGGGAAAGCGCGAGGTTTCCCGGAAAGCAGCGCCGCCCCTTGGCCCCTAGGTGGCCGGCGTTTATAAAGGACCGCGCGCCTCTCGCATCCCAGTCCGCGCTGAGCTCCTCTGCGCCTCGCCTCGGGGCTGCAACCTCTGCCTTGCTATGGCTCCCAGCGGCCCCCGGCCAGCGCTGCCTGCCCTCCTGATCCTGCTCGCGGCTCTGCTCCCAGGTGAGTCGGGGGTGGGGATTGCCGTCGGGCCGACTACCCGAATCCCCGGGAGGACCGATTCCCAGCTCGCGGGGAGATCAGGTCATGCATAACTAGTTAGCTGTTTATGGGACGGTGAGATTAGAGACAGCGATTGAAAGGCAACCGCCTTGTATCCAGACCCTGAATCACCTCCACGCGTGGCTTCGGGCTGTGGATTGCAGCTTTAAAAACGGGTGAGGGATTGGAGATGGAGGGGAGAGGCGGGCCTCGTATTGTTGCCCAGGCTGGTCTTGCACTCCTGGGGTCTAGCCTTCCTCCTGCCTCAGCTTCAGGAATAGCTGGGATGACAGGTGTGAGCCACCGCCTTACTCGGCTAAATTGGGTCTCTTCAGTTTCTCAGCTGTAAAACAGGAAACTTTATAGCGGCCACCTGCCAGGTGTATCTTGGCCCAGCACAGCACCTGGCCTCAGGGCCCGATCAGGATGGTTTGGGAACTTGGCCCTGTGCCAATGCATCAAGGCTTAAGGGACTCCCACCCCCGTCAAGATGTATATTCTGTTCCTCATCCTCTCTTCCCCTGGGGAAGTCCAGGGCTGCTTCTGCTCAGGGGAATTCCAGGGCTGACTTATTTGTAGCCCAAAGCTGAGAAGTGGGACGCCCCAGCACACCCTCCCCCAGCTCTAGCCTAGCTAGGGAAGAGGGAAGGGGTCAGAGGGTCTCATGGTGCTGTGAGTTTTGGGAAGCAGAGGGTGGGAGATTGACAACTTGGTTAACAGCTCAACAAAGCCTCTGATCCAAGCCATGCATAGCGGCAGGCGCCTGTAATCCCAGCTACTCGGGAGGCTGAGGCAGGAAAGTCCCTTAAACCTTCGAGGTGGAGGTTGCAGCCAGCCGAGATTGTGCCACTGCACTCCAGCCTGGGCAACAGAGTGAGATTCCGCCTAAAAAAAAAAAAAAAAAAAAAAAAAAAAAACAGCCTGGGTGTGGTGGCTCACACCTGTAATCCAAGCACTTTGGAAGCCAAGGCAGGTGGATCACCTGAGGTCAGGAGTTCAAGACCAGCCTGACCAACATGGTGAAAACCCGTCTTTAAAAAAAAAAAAAAAAAAAAAAGAAGCCGGGCGCGGTGGCTCAAACCTGTAATCCCAGCACTTTGGGAGGCCGAGGCGGGTGGATCACAAGGGCAAGAGATCGAGATCATCCTGGTCAACATGGTGAAACCCCATCTCTACTAAAAATACAAAAAATTAGCTGGGCATGGTGGCACGTGCCTGTAATCCCAGCTACTCAGGAGGCTGAGGCAGGAGAATTGCCTGAGCCCCGGAGGCGGAGGTTGCGGTGAGCCGAGATCGCGCCATTGCACCCCAGCCTGGGTAACAAGAGTGAAACTCCGTCTCAAAAAAAAAAAAAAAAAAAGAAAAAACAAAAAAAAGGTGTTCTGATCTGGACTCAGACCCGGATCCCACTGCTTTCTAGCTGAGTAACTGTGAAATGGGAATGATCCCAGACTCTCCCCCTGGGAAATGTATGGAACCAATGGCCTCACATCCCCATCCCACATAGAACAAATCTGAGAACAGGAATCTTTGAAGTGGGCAGTGCTGGACTCAGACATTTTTTTCCTACCTTTGGAGGCAGCAGAATCTAAGGGACTTAATCCAAATATGCCCTTTCTTTCTTTCTTTATTTTTTCTTTCTTTCTTTCTCCTTTCTTTCTTTCATTTTTTAGACAGAGTCTTGCTCTTTTGCCCAGGCTGGAGTGCAGTGGTGCAATCATGGCTCACTGCCACCTACACCTCCCAGGTTCAAGCAGTTTTCCTGCCTCAGCCTCCTGAGTAGCTGGGACTATAGGCGCTCACCACCACACCCGGCTAATGTTTGTTTTTTTAGTAGAGACAGGTTTCACCGTGTTGGCCAGGTTGGTCTCCAACTCCTGACCTCAACTGATCCACCTGCCTCAGCCTCCCAAAGTGCTGGGATTACAGGTGTGAGCCACAGTGCCCACCCCATAAGCCCCTTCTTTCTTACCTGCACTTACCTGCAAGGTAGCCAGTTGCTGCCCACCCTGTGCTGAGTTACTTGTATTAGCGGGGGATGGGGTGGCTATACTCACCCACCTTACAGATGGGAAAATTGAGGCCCAAAGAGGGGGAAGGTACTTGTCTCAGGGAGTGAGGACCCAGTCTGATTCCTGGAGAGCTGACTCCCTCCACCTGACTTCTTGAGAGGGAGGAGGGCACCAATTTCACGTTAAAATCGGGTTGGACACAGTGACTCACACCTGTAATCACCGTACTTTGGGAGACTAAGGTGGGAGGATCGCTTGAGGCCAGAGTTTGAGACCAGCCTTAGTGACATAGTGAGACCCCATCCCTACAAAAATGTTTTTCAAAAATTAGCTGGATGTGGTGGTGTCCTGTAGTTCCAGCTACTTGGGCAGCTGAGATGGGAGGATCACTTGAGCCCAGGAGTTCAAGGTTACAGTGCGCTGTGATTGCACCACTGCATTCCAGCCTGGGTGACAGAGGGAGAACTATTTCTCTTTTTCTTTTGAGACGGAGTTTCATTCTTGTTACCCAGGCTGGAGTGCAATGGTGCGATCTCAGCTCACCGCAACCTCCGCCTCCTGGGTTCAGGCAATTCTCCTGCCTCAGCCTCCTGAGTAGCTGGGATTACAGGCATGTGCCACCATGCCCAGCTAATGTTTTGTATTTTTAGTAGAGACGGGGTTTCACCATGTTGACCAGGATGGTCTCGATCTCTTGACCTCGTGATCCACCTGCCTTAGCCTCCCAAAAAGTGCTGGGATTACAGGCTAGAGCCACCGCGCCTGGCTTATTTCTTTTCTTTTTTTTTTTTTTTTTTTTTTTTTTTTGAGATGGAGTCTTGCTCTGTCACCACGCTGGAGTGCAGTGGTGCAATCTCGGCTCACTGTAACCTCCGACTACCTGGTTCAAGCGATTCTCCTGCCTCAGCCTCCTGAGTAGCTGGGATTACAGGTACATACCACCATGCCCAACTAATTTTTGTATTTTTTTATTTTATTTTTATTTTTTAGTAGAGATGGGGGTTTCAACATGTTGACCAGGATAGTCTTGATCTCCTGACCTTGTGATCTGCCCACCTTGGCCTCCCAAAGTGCTGGGATTATAGGCGTGAGCCACCACACCCAGCCCCAACCTGTCCCTTAAACAAAAAAAAGTGATAGCTAAAATCCTCCCATGGCTCCCTATTGCCCTCAGAATAAAAAATACATCTGGCTGGACAGGGATGCTCAGGCCTGCAATGACAGCACTTTGGGAGGCAGAGGCAGGCAGATCACTTGAGGACAGAAGTTCGAGGCCAGCCTGGCCAAAATGGCGAAACTGCATCTCTACTAAAAATATAAAAAATACCAAAATTAGCTGGGTGTGATGGGGGGCACCTACCTGTAGTCCCAGATACTTGAGAGGGTGAGGCAGGAGAATCTCCTGAACCCAGGAAACAGAAGTTGCAGTGAGCGGAGATGGCGCCACTACACTCCAGTCTGGGTAACAGAGACTCCATCTCAAAAAAAAAAGAACACATCTTGAGCATGGCCTTCAGTGCTCACAGGATCTTCCTGAATTAATCTCCCCCCTCTTCCTCCTTGCTCACTCAGCTGCAGCCACCTTGCACCAGGACGTTTGTACTTGTCTGGAATTCACTTCCCTTTTCTCCTGACCGCCAGCCCTTTCTGGTCATTCAGATCTCTGAGCAAACATTAACTTGTCACCAAGTCACTGTCTGTTCTATCACCCTGTTTTGTTTTTGTCAAAGCTCTTATTAACATCAGTTATTAATTATCTTGTTTGCTCATGAATTTTTTTTTTTTTTTTTTTTTTGAGAGTCTCTCTCTGTTGCTCAGGCTGGAGTGCAGTGGCATGACTGCAGCTCACTGCAACCTCCACCTCCCAGGGTCAAGTGATTCTTATGCCTCAGCCTCCAAAATAGCTGGAACATGTGCCACCATGCCCGGCTAACTTTTGCATTTTTAGTGAAGACAGTGTTTCACCATGTTGGTCAGGCTGGTCTCAAATTCCTGACCTCAGGTGATCTGCCTGTCTTGGCCTCCCAAAGTGTGGAGATTACAGGTGTGAGCCACCATGCTTATGAATTTTCTCTTTAACTTCCACATTGAAGGTAATGTTTTGTCTTGTTAAGGCTGGGCCTCCTGCACCCAGCACAGGCTGAGTGCACATTCCCATTGATGAACCTGATTTGGTTTTCATTTGTTTTGTTCTGAGGTGGAGTCTCACTCTGTAGCCCAGGCTGGAGTGCAGTGGTGCGATCTCGGCTCACGGCAATCTCCGCCTCCCAGGTCCCAGTTCAAGCAATTCTCCTGCTTCAGCCTCCCGAGTTGCTGGGATTACAGGCATGCACCACCATGTCCAGCTAATTTTTATATTTTTAGTAGAGACGGGGTTTCACCATGCTGGCCAGGCTCGTCCTGAACTCCTAATCTCGTGATCTGCCCACCTCGGCCTCCCAAAGTGCTGGGATTACAGGAGTGAGCCACTGCACCCGGCCTGATGAACCTGATTTGTAATGCCTGTCACATCTTCCCTCTTTTGTTCCAGGACCTAGCCATGCCCAGACGTCTGTATCCCCCCAAGGGATCATCCTGCCCCGGGGTGGATCCGTGCTAGTGAACTGCAGCAGCTCCTGTGATCAGAGGCCCTTCTTGGGCCTGGAGACTCCGCTGACTAAAAGGGAGGTGCTCCCAGGTGGGAACAACTGGAAGATGTTTGAACTGAGCAATGTGCAAGAAAACAGCCAGCCAATATGCTTTTCAAACTGCGGTGGTAGACAGTCGACAGCGAAAACCTTCCTCACCGTGTACTGTAAGTGACTGAGCCCAGAGGGCTGGGCTAGGCAGACGGGGTAGAGCAGACACACTGGGGCACCCACAGTGGGCTGGGAGAATCTTTGTCACTTGCTGGTAGGGTCAGGGAGGCGCTCCTTGAAGGGCAGGTGGGGACATCCTTGGAGAGCCCCTTTGTGAATCTCTTTGGGTATAATTAAATGCAGTGGTAATCCCAGCACTTTGGGAGGGTGAAGCTGGAAGATAACCTGAGATCAGGAGTTTAAGACCAGGAGTGCTGGGCGCAGTGGCTCAAGCCTGTAATCCCAGCACTTTGGGAGGCTGAGGCGGGTGGATCACAAGTTCAAGAGATCAAGACCATCCTGGTCAACATGGTGAAACCCCATCTCTACTAAAAATACAAAACATTAGCAGGGCATGGTGGCACGTGCCTGTAATCCCAGCTACTCAGGAGGCTGAGGCAGGAGAATTGCCTGAACCCAGGAGGCGGAGGTTGCGGTGAGCCGAGATCGCGCCATTGCACTCCAGCCTGGGTAACAAGAGCGAAACTCTGTCTCAAAAAAAAAAAAAAAGAAAGAAAGAAAGAAAAGACCAGGAGTTTCCATTTCACCAACACAGCGAAACCCAATCTCTACTAAAAATACACAAATCAGACCAGCGTGGTGGCAGGTGCCACCTACTAATCTCAGCTACTCGGGAGGCTTAAGCAGGAAAATTGCTTCAACTTGGTAGACAGATTGCAGTGAGCCACAATTGTGCCACTGCACTCCAGTCTGGGTGACAGAGCAAGACTCTGTCTCAAAAAAAAAAAAAAAAAAAAAATCGGCAGGAATTCAGGACATTGGAGAATGCCATCTCTCTATGCCTTACTCTTTGAACAATATGAAAAGGTCTTGGATCAGACACTTTAATAAAAGATGCAAATTGGCTGGGCATGGTGGCTCACACTTGTAATCCCAGCACTTTGGGAGGCCAAGGTGGGCAGACCACAAGGTCAAGAGATCGAGACCATCCTGCCCAACATGGTGAAACCGCATCTCTACTAAAAATATAAAAATTAGCTGGGCGTGGTGGCGCATGCCTGTAGTCCCAGCTACTCAGGAGGCTGAGGCAGGAGAATCACTTGAATCTGGGAGGCAGAGGTTGCAGTGAGCCAATATTGTGCCACTGTACTCTACCCTGGCAACAGAGCGAGACTCAGTCTCAAAAAAAAAAAGCAAATTAAGCCTGGTGTGGTGATTTGTACCTATAATCCCAGCTACTCCAGAGGCCAAGGCAGAAGGATGGCTTGAGTCCGGGAGTTTGAGACCGGCCTGGGAAACATAGTGAGACCCTGTTTCTACCAGAAAAAAAATAAGTAAATAAATAATTTAGCTGGGCATCATGGCGTGCACCTGTAATCTCAGCTACTCCTGAGGCTTTGGTGGGAGGATTGCTTGAACCCAGGGGTTCGAATCCTGGGAGTTCGAATCCAGCCTGGGCGACATAGCAAAATCATTTTATTAAATGTTTTAATAAAAACATTTTTATTTTAACAAAATATGAGTTAAAACTAGCCCTGGATGGCATTTTTCACATATTGGCAACAATGGACAGAATTGCTAACAGCTGTGCTGGCAAGGCCGTGGAACATAGGCGGTTTGTGCGATGCTAGGACACTGCTGTGGGGATCGTAAATGAGCCCAACCCTGTGGTGGGAAATTGGGCATCGGTTCTCAAAATTTTACTGGCTGGGCGTGGTGGTTTATGCCTATAATCCCAACACTTTGGGAGGCTAAGGTGGGAGGGTCGTTTGAGGCCAGGAGTTCAAGACCAGTCTGGGCAACATAGTGGAATTCTTTTTTTTTTTTTTTTTGAGACGAAGTTTCGCTCTTGTTACCCAGGCTGGAGTGCAATGGCGTGATCTCGGCTCACCGCAACCTCCGCCTCCTGGGTTCAGGCAATTCTCCTGTCTCAGCCTCCTGAGTAGCTGGGATTACAGGCACGAGCCACCATGCCCAGCTAATTTTTTTTTTTTTTGTATTTTTAGTAGAGACGGGGTTTCACCGTTGACCGGGATGGTCTTGATCTCTCGACCTCGTGATCCACCCGCCTCAGCCTCCCAAAGTGCTGGGATTACAGGCTTGAGCCACCGCGCCCGGCCTTCTTCTTTTTTTTTTTTTTTAAATGTGACGGAGTCTCCCTTTGTTGCCCAGGTTGGAGTGCAGTGGTGCAATCTCGGCTCACTTCAACCTCTGCCTCCCAGGCTCAAGCGATTCTCATGCTTCAGCCTCCAGAGTAGCTGGGATTACAGGTGCTCGCCATCAGGCCTAGCTGATTTTTGTATTTTTAATAGAGACGAGGATTCACCATGTTGGCCAGGGTGGTCTTGAACTCCTGAGCTCAAGTTATCCATCTGCCTCAGCCTCCCAAAGTGCTGAGATTATAGGAGTGAGCCACCACACCCAGCCCCATTCTTTTTTTTTTTTTTTTTTTTTTTTTTTGAGATGGAGTCTTGCTCTGTCAGCCAGGATGGAGTGCAGTGGTGCGATCTCGGTTCGCTGCAACCTCCGCCTCCCAGGTTCAAGTTATTGTCTTGTCTCAGCCTCCAGAGTAGCTGGGATTATAGGCTCGCCACCACCATACCCGGCTAAATTTTTGTATTTTTAGTAAGGACAAGGTTTCACTGTATTGGTCAGACTGGTCTTGAACTCCTGACCTTGTGATCCACCCACCTCAGACTCCCAAAGTGGTGGGATTGCAGGCATGAGCCACCCCACTCGGCCCCCATTCTATTTTTTTTTGAATGCCATGTGTGTGTATCCTGTGGCAAACCCTAATCCTGGCCAGTCATGGTGGCTCATTCCTGTAATGTCAGCTCTCTGGGAGGCCAAGGCGAGTGGATCGCTTGAGGTCAGGAGTTTGAGACCAGCCTGGCAAACATGGCGAAACCCCATCTCTACTAAAAATACAACAATTAACCATGCGTGGTGGAGCATGTCTGTAGTCCCAGCTACTAGGGAGGCTGAGGCAGGAGAATCACTTGAACCTGGGAGGCAGAGGTTGCAGTGAGCTGAGATCATGCCACTGCACTCCAGCCTTAGGTGACAGAGTGAGACTCTGTCTCAAAAAAAAAAAAAAAAAAAAAAAGAATTATAAGAATTAGCTGGGCATGCTGGCATGCACCTGTAATCCCAGATACTCATGAGGCTGAGGTGGGAGGATCAGCTGAGTCCAGGGATTTGGAGGCTGTAGTGATTCTATGATCATGCCACTGCACTCCAGCATGGGAGACAGAGTGAGATCCTGTCTCAAAAAAAAAAATAAAATAAAATAAAGGGAAAACCCAGTCCTGGAAAGTGGTCTATAGGCATGTCTGCCTACAAGGGAGATGGTGAGGGCTATGGCATCATTCATTGACACTTGTCATTTTGTATGAAGGGCAAATGCTTGCAAACCACTCAAATGGGAAAAGCTAGAGAAGGAAACTGTGGCTTGTCCATTACGCAGAACAGCATGTGACCATGTAGAAGAATCAGGAAGTTCCGGTGAACTGAAAGAGAGTCAGCTCTGGGGTGTATTGTAAAGTCGAAATGAAAGAAAGTATGTTGAATATGAGTGGCATGCCACTCACGTTAGGGAGTGGCAGAAGGGCAGTTTCAGGAGGCTGTATTTGTGTATAAAATAGCCCTAAAAGGAAGTGGGAGAAGGGACAGTATTAGTTGGCTATGAGAAGAGAGGCGGGGAGGCTCTGGGAGAGGGCTTGAGGTGGAGAATTCTTTTTTTTTTTTTTTTTTTTTTTGTGTGTGTGTGTGAGATGGAGTTTCGATCTTGTTGCCCAGGCTAGAGTGCAATGGCACAATCTCAGCTCACCACAACTTCCGCCTCCCAGGTTCAAGGGATTCTCCTGCCTTAGTCTCCTGAGGAGCTGGGATTACAGACATGCATTACCACGCCTGGCTAATTTTGTACTTTTAGCAGAGACGGGGTTTCTCCATATTGGTCAGGCTGGTCTCGAACTCCCAACCTCAGGTGATTGACATGCCTCAGCCTCCCAAGTAGCTGGGATTACAGGCACCCACCACCATCCCTAGCAAATTTTTATATTTTTAGTAGAAAGGGGTTTTACCATGTTGGCCAGGCTGCTCTCGAACTCTTCACCTCAGGTGATCCACCCGCCTCAGCCTCCCAAACTACTGGGATTACAGGTGTGAGCCGCCGCACCTGGCCAACAATTCTCTCTGTGTTCCTCCTACTTTGGAGACTTTGAATGGTGGGAAAGAGTTACCAAGACAAAAAAGAAATTCAAATGAAAACAAAACAAAATCAAAGAAGGAAAAACAGAAGAGAATTGGGCAGACTAGGCACAGTGGCTCATGCCTATAATCACTGTGATTTAGGAGCCCAAAGCAGAAGGATTGGGAGTTGGACACCAGCCTGGTCAACATAGCAAGACCCCATATCTACAAAAAATAAGAAAACTAGCCAAGCATGGTGGTATACCTATAATCCCAGCTACTCAGGAGACTGAGGTGAGAGGATCGCCTGAGACCAGGAGGTCGAGGCTGCAATGAGCCGTGATGACACCACTGCACTCCAGCCTGGGTGACAGAGCAAGACCCTGTCTCTAAAAAATAAAAACCGGCCAAGTAGCTTTGAGATTAGCCTTGGGTCCCAGTCCCAAGACCCTTAATAGCTTGGAGGATGTGGCTTCTGGGTTTACTTTGCGATCAGGTGAGACCTCCTCTGATGGGTATAATGACACAGTGAGGAAGAAAGGACATTCTGCTGTCATTGTGCCAGGGCAAGGAAGCCTCTGGGTAAATGATCTGGTTTGAAGGGTAGATGAGCAGATGCTGACCTTCCCAGGTGAGGGAAGTCCCCAGACATTTCCAGCGGCCTCAAAAACCCCCGAGAAAGCTCTTTGTAGGACTTTTCTGCATCTCTGCCTGATAGGCTTTATTTTTTACTTTTTTTTGAGACAGAGTCTCACTCTGTCGCCCAGGCTGGAGTGCAGTGGTGCAATCTCCACCCACTGCAACTTCTGCCTCCCAAGTTCAAGCAATTCTCCTGCCTCATCCTCCCTCCCAAGTAGCTGAGATTACAGGCACCCGCCACCAAGTCTGGCTAATTTTTGAATTTTTAGTAGAGAAAGGGTTTCACCACATTGACCAGGCTGGTCTCAAACTACTGACCCCTGGTGATACACCCACCTCAGCCTCCCAAAGTGCTGGGATTACAGGCATAGCACACTGTGCCCAGCTCTGCCTGGTAGTTGAAAGCGTACAACTCCTGGTTTGGCTCCTGGCTGTGCCACATTTCTTCCTCTGTGACTGGGGGTGCCCCACTTTGCCTTAGTTCTTACTTCTGTGAAAGGGAGCAGATGGCAGCACAAGTAGCAAAGGAGTAAAAGGTGTGTGGGAGTGTGTCACCAGAGAGAGTCTAGCTTGGTCTTGCCCCGCCCGTGGTGTAAACAGAAAGAAGCCTCCCTGGATGGCTCAGTCTTCTCCAAAAAGGTTAGAGGTGTAATTCCTAGAGGAGGTGACCACCAGCTGGGCTTTAAAGGATGTATAGGAGTTCATAAAGACAGGCATTCTGGGCAGGGGAACAGCCTGGGCAAAAGTTTGGAGCAGGGAGAAATCTTGATGGGGGCAGGAGGAGCCCAACAGCAGTAAGTTGGTGTGGGCCGGGCACGGTGGCTCATACCTGTAATCCTGGCACTTTGGGAGGCCGAAGCAAGAGGATTGCTTGAGCCCGGGAGTTTGAGACCAGCCTGGGCAACATAGGGAGACCCTGTCTCTAAGAAAATAAAAAAAATAGCCTGGCACGGTGGCATATGCTTGTAGTCTCAACTACTCTGGAGGCTTAAGTGGGAGGATCATGTGAGCCCAGAAATTTTTTTATTTTTATTTTTTGAGATGAAGTCTCCATCTGTGGCCCAGAATGGCGTGCAATGGTGCCATCTTGGCTCACTGCAGCCTCTGCCTCCTGGGTTCAAGCAATTCTCCTGCCTCAGCCTCCCGAGTTGCTGGGATTACAGGTGCCCACCACCATATCCAGCTAAATTATTTTTGTATTTTTAGTAGAGACGGCGTCTTGAATACCTGACCTCAAGTGATCCACCTCCTTGGCTTCCCAAAGTGCTGGGATTACAGGTGTGACACTCCAATTCCTGTCAAGACCAGGAATTGGAGGTTACAGTCAGCTATGATTGTGCCACTGCATTCTAGCCCAGGTGACAGAGTGAAATCCTGCCTCTTAAAAAAAAAAAAAAAAAAAAAAAACCTTGATGGGAGGCAGGGTGAGGTTGGCAGGGCCTTGAAGGCCAAGTGGAGGAGCTGGGACTTTCTCCTCCTCAGGTTGTGGTGGAGGGTTTGTGAGCCGGCCAGGGATTAGATAAGCTGAAGGCTAGATTTACAGGAAACCACAGAGCAGTTCGCTATGGTCCTTGTCCAGGTGGCCCACGTTGTGGGCAGTGACCATATCCAAGAAGGAAAGGACAGGCAAATATTTGAATAGTTCAGTGACCAGGATTTGGAAAAGGACTGAAGGTCAGGGTCAAGAAGAGGTGAGAGCAGAAGAGACATTCCCCCAAACCCACCACCAGGCAGCCAAGCTGGGTTTCCTCTAGGGGCTGAGGCTCGAGGCCGCCTCAAATTCTGCAAGAGTTTGTAGGAGATGGTGAGAGATAAGAGCTGGAGGTTAGAGTTTTCTTGACCTTATGTATATATTGTTTAACAGCTTAACAGCTTTCTGTTTTATTTTTAGACACAGTCTCACTTTGTCACCCAGACTGGAGTGCAGTGGCACAATCATAGCTCACTGCAGCCTCAAACTCCCAGACTCAAGAAACCCCCCTCCCACTCTCAGCCTCCTGAGTAGCTGAGACTACAGGTGGGAGCCACCAAGCCCAGCTTGCTTTTTTTGGTTTTTTGGTTTTTTTTTTGAGACCGAGTCCTCTCTGTTGCCCAGGCTGGAGTGCAGTGGCACAATCTTAGCTCACTGCAACCTCCACCTCCCAGGTTCAAGTGATTCTCCCGGCCTCACTCTCCCATGTAACTGGGATTACTGGCATCCACCACCATACCCAGCTAATTTTTGTTTTCTTGGTTTGTTGTTGTTGTTGTTGTGAGATGAAGTCTCACTCTGTTGCCCAAGAAGGAGTGCAGTGGTGCAGTCTCGGCATGCTGCAACCTCCGCCATCCTCCTGCCTGAGAAGCTGGGACTACCGGCATGTGCCACCATGCCTGGCTAATTTTTGTTTTTTTAGTAGAGACAGGGTTTCAGTATGTTGGCCAGGCTGATCTTCAACTCCTGACCTTGTGATCTGCCCGTGTCGGCATCTAGAAGTCCTGGGATTACAGGTGTGAACTACCATGCCCAGCCTAATTTTTTTATTTTTTTTTTAGTAGAGATAGGGTTTTGCCATGTTGGTCAGGCTGGTCTTGAACTCCTGACCTCAGGTGATCCATCCACCTCGGCCTCTAAAGGCATGAGCCACCATGCCTGGCCGAAGCCTGGCTTGTTTTTAAATGTGTGTGTGTGTGTGTGTGTGTGTGTGTGTGTGTGTGTGTGTTTTCTCCCAGAAATGGGGTCTCACAATGTTGCCCATGCTAGTCTTGAACCTGTGGCCTCAGGATGGTCTTGATCTCCTGACTTTGTGATCCACCCATCTCCGCCTCCCAAAGTTGTTGTTGGGATTAAAGGCGTGAGCCACTGCGCAGGGACTGTTTTGTTTTTTAAAGAATGTCTAGGCCTAGTGTGTTTGCTCACACCTGTAATCCCAGCACTTTGGGAGGCTGAGATGGGAAGATCACTTGAGATCAGGAATTCGAGACAAGCCTGGGCAACACGCTGAAAACCCCATTTCTACTAAAAATACAAAAATTAGCTGAGTGTGGTGGTGCATGTCTATAATCCCATCTACTTGGGAGGCTGAGGCAGGAGAATTGCTTGAACCCAGGAGGTGGAGGTTGCAGTGAGCTGAGATCGAGCCATTGCGCTCCAGCCTGGGCAACTGAAGGACACTCGGTCTAACAAATAAATAAAATAAAAATAAAAAAATTAATCAGGTACAGTGGTGTGTGCCTGTAATTCAAGCTACTCAGGAGGCTGGGGCAGGAGAATCGGCTGAACCCCGGTGGCGGAGGTTGCAGTGAGCTGAGATCACACCGCTGTTTGCCCAGTTTAGTGCACTGGGCTGCTGAACTTATTTGACCAGACCCCTAGCAATAGACTGTGAAGTTCACAGGCCGGGCGCAGTGGCTCACGCCTGTATAATCCCAGCACTTTGGGAGGCCGAGTTGGGTGGATCACAAAGTCAGGAGATTGAGACCATCCTGGCCAACATAGTGAAACCCCATCTCTACTAAAAGTATAAAAATTAGCTGGGCCGGGCGCGGTGGCTCAAGCCTGTAATCCCAGCACTTTGGGAGGCCGAGGCGGGTGGATCACGAGGTCAAGAGATCGAGACCATCCTGGTCAACATGGTGAAACCCCGTCTCTACTAAAAATACAAAAAACTAGCTGGGCGTGGTGGCGCGTGCCTGTAATCCCAGCTATTTAGGAGGCTGAGGCAGGAGAATTGCCTGAACCCAGGAGGCGGAGGTTGCGGTGAGCCGAGATCGCGCCATTGCACTCCAGCCTGGGTAACAAGAGCGAAAACTCCGTCTCAAAAAAAAAAAAAAAATTAGTTGGGCACAATGACAAGTGCCTGTAGTCCCAACTACTCAGGAGGCTGAGGCAGGAGGATCATTTGAACCTGGGAGGTGGAGGTTGCAGTGAGCCGGGATCACGCCACTGCACTCCAGCCTGGCAATAGAGCGACATTCCATCTTAAAAAAAAAAAAAAAAAAAAAGCCGGGCGTGGTGGCTCAAGCCTGTAATCCCAGCACTTTGGGAGGCCGAGGTGGGTGGATCACGAGGTCAAGAGATCGAGACCATCCTGGTCAACCTGGTGAAACCCCGTCTCTACTAAAGATACAAAAAATTAGCTGGGCATGGTGGCACGTGCCTGTAATCCCAGCTACTCAGGAGGCTGAGGCAGGAGAATTGCCTGAACCCAGGAGGCGGAGGTTGTGGTGAGCCGAGATGGCGCCATTGCACTCCAGCCTGGGTAACAAGAGCGAAACTCCGTCTCAAAAAAAAAAAAAAAAAAGTTCTTTTCCACTTTTCACTCTAAGATGCTGCTGTCACAAATAAGGAATTTTTTGATCCCCTTCACAAACCCTTGGGGCCCTCTTACCAGCTTTCCCTGAAGATCTTGACATTCCTATCTGCTGAGGTGTTTGGGCGTGTTTGGGGGAAATATTGAAGAGCTGGGGCTCCCAGGCAGATGCGGTTCATGTGCTGGGCAGGAGCAAGGTCCAGTTCACCCCCACCTCTGTTTTCCTGCAGGGACTCCAGAACGGGTGGAGCTGGCACCCCTCCCTGCTTGGCAGCCGGTGGGCGAGAACCTTACCCTACGCTGCCAGGTGGAGGGCGGGGCACCCCGGGCCAACCTCACCGTGGTGCTGCTCCGTGGGGAAGAGGAGCTGAGCCGGCAGCCGGTGGTGGGGGAGCCTGCTGAGGTCACGGTCACGGTGCTGGCAGGCAGAGATGATCACGGAGCCAATTTCTCGTGCCGCACTGAATTGGACCTGCGGTCCCAAGGGCTGGAGCTGTTCGAGAACACTTCGGCCCCCCACCAGCTCCAAACCTTTGGTGAGGATTGAGGAAGCCGGCAGGGAGAGGGTAGAGTATCCTGGAATGGGGTGCCCCTGGCCTCAGGACCTTCTGACAAGGGTGTGGCCTGCTGAACTTGGTGGCTCACGCCTATAATCCCAGCACTTTGGGAGGCCGAGGTGGGTGGATCACCTGAGGTTTGGAGTTCGAGACCAGCCTGACCAACATGGAATAAAATACAAAATTAGCCAGGTGTGGTGGCGCATGCCTGTAATCCCAGCTACTTGGGAGGCTGGGGTAGGAGAATCGCTTCAACCCAGGAGATGGAGGTTGCGGTGAGCCAAGATCGTGTCATTGCACTCCAGCCTGAGCAACAAGAGTGAAACTCCATCTCAAAAAAAAAAAAAAAGGTGTAGCCCCAGCTGAAGGGTGCATGTGTTCTAGGCATATGTGGCCTAGGCTGCTGAGTCGCCCTGAAAGAGGATCTTGCAGGAGGGGAATGAAATGCCCTGAGAAGGGCTTTAGGGCATCCATCCCTGTCTGCTCACACTCACCCTCTCTCCCCAGTCCTGCCAGCAACTCCCCCACAACTTCTCAGCCCCCGGATCCTGGAGGTAGACACGCAGGGGACGGTGGTCTGTTCCCTGGATGGGCTGTTCCCAGTCTCGGAGGCCCAGGTCCACCTGGCGCTGGGGGACCAGAAGCTGAACCACACAATCACCTATGGCATCGACTCCCTCTCGGCCAAGGCCTCGGTCAAGGGGACCGCAGAGGATGAGGGCACCCAGCGGCTGTTGTGTGCAGTAATACTTGGGAATCAGAGCCAGGAGATGCGGAAGACAGTGACCGTCTACAGTAAGAACGGGCAGGGGACAGACCGGGGCTTCCTGGGGGTGTGAACTGAACTGGGTACGGGGCTCACTGTATGCCCACCCTCAGGCTTTCCGGCACCCAGAGTGATTCTGATGGAGCCTGTGGTCTCAGAAGGAACCGAGGTGATCGTGAAGTGTGAGTCCGACCCCAGAGCCATGGTGATGCTGAATGGGGTCCCAGCCCAGACACTGGGCCCGGGGGCCCAATTACGGCTGAAGGCCAGGCCCGAGGACGATGGACGGAACTTCTCCTGCTCTACAACCCTAGAGGTGGCTGGACAGGTCGTACACAAGAACCAGACCCTGGAGCTCCGTGTGCTGTGTGAGTGAGGCTGCTGGACAAATACCCCTGTCCCCCCAAGGCCCAACCCCTGACGTCCCATAAGCTCTTGCCCTCCAAGTTTCACCCCCACCCATAAGGGGAGCCCTCCTGGTCCCCAACCACCATCTCATCTTGTGTTTTTTTCAGATGGCCCCAAACTGGACGAGAAGGATTGTCCGAGAAACTGGACGTGGCCAGAAAACTCCCAGCAGACTCCGATATGCCAGGCTTGGGGAAATCCCTCACCCCAGCTTGAGTGTCTAAAAGATGGCACTTTGCCACTGCCCATCGGGAAATCAGTGACTGTCACACGGGATCTTGCGGGAACCTACCTCTGTCGGGCTACGAGCACTCAGGGGGAGGTCACCTCCGAGGTGATCGTGAACGTGGTGACCGTGCCCTGTGAGTGATCCCGCCTGCAGGACTGGGTGGGGCAGAGGCCAAGGGCGTCTTGCAATCCTCACCACCTCTTATCCTCCCCACAGCCCCCCGGCATGAGATGGTCATCATGGCCATAGTGCTGACTGCAGCCATCCTGGGCACTGCAGGCGTCGCCATGTACCTCTATAACCGCCAGAGGAAGATCAGGAAATACAGACTCCAACAGGCTCAAAACAGGACCCCCATGAAACCCATCACACAAGCCACGCCTCCCTGAACCTACCCCAGGATGGGGCCCCTTCCTCGACCCTCCCATCTGGTGGTAGTGGTGCCACACAGAACAGAGTGGCAGACATATGCCATACAGCTACACCCAGAGACTCTGGGATGCCAGAGGACAGGGCATTGGTCTCAGTCAGATGCAGACGGCATTTGGGGCCATGGCACCTGCTGCACACCGAAAACACTAAGCCAGGCATGTGATCTGCAGTCACGTGACTAAGCCAAGAGGAAGGGGCAAGACTCAAGATGTGACTGTGATGGACTTCAAAGTCCAGCCTGGTGAGAGGGGAAGGGGTGGGGGAAGCATACCCCTACCATAAGGACACACAGCCAGGAAATACTGAAATTCGATGGCCATGGGGTAAGCTAATGCCCCACAGCCCTAAGGAAGAAGTGGCCCTGCACAGACAAGTGTCGCATCAAAACACAAATGCCCGCACTTCCCGACAGATGCCAGCTTGGGCACTGCTGTCTATTGACTGTCCCCAACCCTTGATATGTATTTATTCATTTTTTATTTTACCAGCTATTTATTGAGTGCTTTTTATGTAGGCTAGGATGGCGAACAAGATGAACATAGGTCTCTGGCCTCACGGAGCTCCCAGCCACAGTCACATTCAGGGTCACCAGGTACAGTTGTACAGGTTGTACACTGCACAAGAGTGCCTGGCAAAAAGATCAAATGGGGCTGGGACTTCTCATTGACCAACCTGCCTTTCCCCAGAAGGAGTGATTTTTCTATTTGGCACGAAAGCACTATATGGACTAGTAATGGTTACAGGTTCAGAACTGGAGCGACCCAGTGAGGCCTTACTCCTCCTTCTCCTCAAAAACAGACGCCTTTCTTAGCCACTTCCCACCCACATACATTCCTGCCAGCGTTCACAGTAACAGCGGTAATGCCTGGAGAGAGTCCAGAGAATATGCCCGACCTCTGCCTTGTTCTGTTTGCAATCCAGTGGGACCTCGCACTACACAGTTCCAACTTCCTGCAGTGATCAGAGCCCTGCAAACAGGGGGCAGGGGGCCAAGGTATTGGAGGACTCCCTCCCAGCTCTAGAAGCCTCTTTCGTGTGTATGCGCGCGTGTGTGTGTGTGTGTGTGTGTGTGTGTGTAAGGGGGCCAAGGTAATGGAGGACTCCCAGCTCTGGCAGCCTCTTCCGTGTGTGTGTGTGTGTGTGTGTGTGTGTGTGTTTGTAGACAAGGTCTCGCTCTGTCACCCAGGCTGGAGTACAGTGGTGCAATCATAGTTCACTACAGCCTTGACCTCCTGAGCTCAAGTGATCCTCCCACCTGAGCATCCTGAGTAGCTAGGGCCATAGATGCACGCCACCACATCCGGCAAATTGGACTTTTTTTTTATGGAGACAGGGTGTCAAGACATTGCCCAGACTTCCTTTGTGCTAATAAAGCTTTTCTCATCTGCCTCTGCCTTGTGTGAATTGAGGGGAGGTGTCACATCCAGCTGGAGTCCTTCCTAAGCAGCCACAGCCCGATCCTCCCACTTCCCCCCCCCCCCAAAGAAAAACACTGTGAACTCATGGCCATACCTTGAGGTTCTGGTCCAAATCTGGGACTATTTATGACCTTCTGGGTCTGTAGTGAAAACTGAAGACTCCTCTCCAGAAAAAAAAAAAAAAATTTGGTTTCCAATGAGGCCTGGAATCCCCCCCACGGCCTTTGTTGTTGTTGTTGTTGTTGTTGTTGTTGTTTTTGAGATGGAGTCTTGCTTGGTGGCCCAGGCTGGAGTGCAGTGGGCGATCTCAGCTCACTGCAACCTCTGCTTCCTGGGTTCAAGCAATAATCCTGCTCAGCCTCCTGAGTACTTGGGATTACAGGCAGGCACCACTAACACCTGGCTATTTTTTGCATTTTTAGTAGAGACGGGGTTTCACCATGTTGGTCAGGCTGGTCACAAACTCCTGACCTCGTGATATGCCCGCCTCGGCCTCCCAAAGTGCTGGGTTTACAGACTTAAGCCACCGCGCCAGGCCTGGAATCCCATTCTTGACCCGGGGAGAATCTCTTTTTGCGGGACTCCTGGGCCCTCTAATGGGGCCTCCCCTCCCTCTCCAGGGCGGAGTTGAGGAGGCGGGGCTGCGGGCCTCCTTATCTCCAGAGCCAGCCCTGGCTGTCTGGCGCGGGGCCCCTCAGTCCGGGCTTTTTGCCATGGGGTCTCTGTTTCCCCTGTCGCTGCTGCTTTTTTTGGCGGCCGCTTACCCGGGAGTTGGGAGTGCGCTGGGACGCGGGACTGATCGGGCACGAGGCTCCAAGGGTAGCTCTCCCACACCCTCGAGGACCTCAGTGCCCTTCTGGGTGCGCGTGAGCCCAGAGTTCGTGGCTGTGCCGCCGGGAGGGTCAGTGTGGCTCAATTGCAGCAGCAGCTGTCCCCAGCCGCAGAGTTCCAGCCTCCGCACCCGGCTGCAGCAGGGCAAGACGCTCAGAGGGCCGGGTTGGGTGCATTACCAGCTGCTCGACGTGAGGGCCTGGAGCTCCCAGGCGCACTGCTTTGTCACCTGCGCAGGAAAAACGCGCTGGGCCACCGCCAGGATCACCGCCTACAGTGAGGGATAGGGGCTCGGTCCGGCTGGGGTGAAGGGAGGGGGCTGGGAGAGATGGGGGAGGGTAGTTGACAGTCGCTCTATAGGGGGCGCCCGCGGACCTCACTCAGAGGGTCCCTCTTGCCTTAGAACCGCCCCACAGCGTGATTTTGGAGCCTCCGGTCTTAGAGGGCAGGAAATACACTTTGCGCTGCCACGTGACACACGTGTTCCCCGTGGGCTACTTGGTGGTGACCCTGAGGTGCGGCGGCCGGATCATCTATTCCGAAAGCCTGGAGCGCTTCACCGGCCTGGATCTGGCCAACGTGACCTTGACCTACGAGTTTCCTGCTGGACCCCGCGATTTCCGGCAGCCCGTGATCTGCCACGCGCGCCTCAATCTCGACGGCCTGGTGGTCCACAGCAGCTCTGCACCCATTACACTGATGATCGGTGAGGCACCCCTGTAATCCTGGGGACTAGGAGGAAGGGAGCAGAGGTTTATAACCCCAAGAAGGCGCACGGACCAAGCGTGAGTTCCACGCGGGTCGACAGACCTCCCTCTGTCCCCTTCCTAATTCTCGCCTCCTGCTCCCAGCTTGGAGCCCCGCGCCCACAGCTTTGGCCTCCTGTTCCATCGCTGCCCTTGTGGGAATCCTCCTCGCCGTGGGCGCTGCGTACCTGTACAGGTACCTAGCGATGAAGTCTCCGGAGTAAAGCGGGGTGTTCTATGCCGGCTGAGCCAGACAGAAGAGGAATCTGGAACAATTTGGGGAATCCCCCGAACACGGTGGCTGACGCCTGTAATCCCAGCACTTCGGGAGGCCAAGGCAGGAGGACTGCTTGAGCCCAGGAGTTTGAAACCAGCCTGGACAACATGGTGAGACCCCATCTATGCAACAAATACAAAAATTAGCCGGGCTTGGTGCCGCGCGCCTGTGGGCCCAGCTACTCGGGGGCTGAGTGGGAGGATTGCTTGAGCCCTGAAGGTCGAGGTTGCAGTGAGCCTTGATTGTGCCACTGCACTCCAGCCTGGGCGACATAGCGAGACCCTGTCTCAAAAGTAAAAATAAAAATAAAAATAAATATTGGCGGGGGAATCCTCCAGAAATCAATAAAGGCTTCCTTAACCAGCCTCTGTCCTGTGACCTAAGGGTTCCCATTACTGCCCTTGTTCGGAGGAACTGTGTTTTTTGTTTTGTTTTGTTTTGTTTGATCACTTTCTCCAAGTTCCTTGACTCCCTGAGGGCACCTGAGGTTTCCTCACTCAGGGCCCACCTGAGGTCCCGAAGCCGCAAACTTTGTGTATCCCCAGTGGGTGTCGCAGAAACCTCTCCTGCTGGCTTTATCGAGGCTGTGCAGAGGGGATCAGCGCGGTCCTGGAGGGCCACGGGCAGGGGCGGGGCGGGGTTCACGGTCTGGCTTTCCTGATTGGTGCCGCCGCCACCGCGCGGCAGCTCTGATTGGATATTAAGTTTCCCATCCTAGCCCCACCTTCAGAACCTGTGCTTTCCTGGGGAACAAACAACTGTGGAGCGAGAACTCATCTGCAAAACAGCTCATCGGGCTAGGGTGAGACCATGAATGGTAGAGAGGGAAGGGTCCCATGGACATATTGAGGGACGTGGATACGCAAAAGAGGTACCCATGCAGTCGGGAAGGGGTGATCAGATGGTCCACAAATTCGAATTCTGACGATGTTCTGGTAGTCACCCGGCCAGATGAGCACATGGGGTTGGGGGACGTTGTCAAAGCTTGGGGCCCGGATGCGGAGTCAAAAGAGTCACCCCCTGTCCCTCGTTCTCGCGTGGAGGGCCAGGGCCTCAGCCCACCGAGCAGAAGGCGAACTCGGGCGCTCCTGGGCGGCTGGCGCTCACACACGCTGAGTAGACACGTGCCCGCTGCACGCTGGGTAAATACAGACCCGGAGCCGAGCGGATTCTAATTTAGACGCCCGCGAACGCTGCGCGCACGCACACGTGTCCCCAGCTCGCTGGCATTTTCGTCCCGCCCCCTCTGTCGCGAGCCGGGGCTGAGCGGGAGGGGGGCTTAGGGGTGTGGCTCCGCGGGGTCAAAAGGAGAAGGACGGGAGAGAGAGGCATCCCCGCATCCTTCCCTAGAACTGTCCTTTCCCCATCCAGTGCCTCCCAAACCTCTCTCAGTCCCCAAACGCATCCCCGCCCTAAGGGGCGCTGGTGGGAGGAGCTACATGTGGGGGCGGAGCTCGGAGTCCAGCTCATTATCACAGCATCTCAGCCAGGGCTGGGGTAGGGGTTTGGGAAGGGCAACCCAGCATCCCCCGATCCCAGAGTCGCGGCCGAGGATGACGCGGGAGAGCGTGGTCGCCCCCAGAAGGCTCTGGGCCATCATGCCGGCCTCCACGTAGACCCCGGGGGTCGCTCGCTCCTGCCAGCTCGCCTTCACCAAGGCCAGGAGCTTAGCGCACGCTCGCCTCCCGCTCCCCCCCGCCGCCTCTGCCGCCGCCCCCTCCTTGGAAACCAAGTTACCAACGTTAAACCAATCCCCGAGCGCAACTCTGCCTCCCCCACACCCCACCCGCCGCGCCGCGCCGAGCCGTCCTCTAGCCCAGCTCCTCGGCTGGCGCTCCCCTCGCCTCCTGCGCTTTCCCCGCCGCGGCGATGCCAGGGCCTTCGCCAGGGCTGCGCCGGGCGCTACTCGGCCTCTGGGCTGCTCTGGGCCTGGGGCTCTTCGACCTCTCAGGTAAGAGCCCCGCTCTGGCTCGGGGTGGACAGGGCGGGGGCGGAGTTCCCGGACATGAGAAGCGGCCTCCTGTCCCTCCCGGCTCCGCCCTCGACTCTCTCCCACGCCTCTGCCCCCACCTCGAGCCTGAGTCTTCCCCCCTTCCCCCTCCTCCCAAATACACACCCGAGCCCCAGCTTCCTGACCCCTCGATCGCCCCTACCCGTTTCGAGCTCCTAGGTGCTCTTCCGCACCCAGCCCTGCGCCCTGGAGACCCGGAGTCTCTCCTGTCCCCTCCCCGGGTACCTCCTCACGCTCTGCTGTGCACCATGGTCCACGGAATGGCATCTTCCCCACTCGCGGTCCGCGAAGACTCCATCTCTCCAACTACCGTGACTCAGAAACGCTGTTCCCGCTCCGCCCGGAGCCCTGGCCACCGGGCCCCTCGGCTGTTCCCACGGTTCCTTCCATGAGCCCAGCCCTGCGTCCTGGTTCCGTGTTCTTCACCGGGTGTAGGGTCCTTCCTGATCCTTGACCCACCTATCTGGAGCCCATCTCTCCTTTGCCCTTGCGGCAAACGCACTCTCCCCGTATCTCGGGATTCTACCAGGACCCTGAGAACCGGTTTATCCCCCATCCCCCACCTGGGGTCCCCTGCTCTCAGCCTTGCTGTGTGCATCGAAGACCCCATCTTTCCTTTCCTCTACCCCCTCCCCCTTCCCATGTTTTCCCGCCGCTCCACCGGCTCTTTGGAGACCAGGGATCTCTGGTACCACGTCCCAGGGACACCCTCGAGGTTTAGACTCTGGGAGCGCGCCTTTAAACCCTAGGCCTGGGCAGGACGCAGGACGCCTGGGTTCTTTCCCTGGCCGCAGCCTCTCCTCCCCACCCTCCGAGAACCCTTGACTCGACATAAGGGCGCTAACATGTCAGGGAGTTGGCTCCCCAGGCTGAGCCCGCGTTTTCCTGGGCAGCGGTCTCGCAGGAGCCCTTCTGGGCGGACCTGCAACCCCGCGTGGCGTTCGTGGAGCGCGGGGGCTCGCTGTGGCTGAATTGCAGCACCAACTGCCCTCGGCCGGAACGCGGTGGCCTGGAGACCTCGCTGCGCCGAAACGGGACCCAGAGGGGTTTGCGTTGGTTGGCGCGGCAGCTGGTGGATATTCGCGAGCCGGAGACCCAGCCCGTCTGCTTCTTCCGCTGCGCGCGGCGCACACTACAGGCGCGTGGGCTCATTCGCACTTTCCGTGAGTTCTGGGTGGCCTCGCGCGTACTCCACTACTTTCCCTCCCTCCCAGGCACCGCCCTCTGGGTTCCAGGGTCCTCCCCTTCAGGCCCCACCCTCTGTGTCCCCACCCCCTCCCCTGGGTTCCAAGTCCTGGCGTTCCAAAAGCCGCGGACTCTTCCCACTTGCAGAGCGACCAGATCGCGTAGAGCTGTTGCAGCTGCCTCCCTGGCAGCCGGTGGGCGAGAACTTTACCCTGAGCTGTAGGGTCCCGGGCGCTGGGCCCCGTGCGAGCCTCACGTTGACCCTGCTGCGGGGCGCCCAGGAGCTAATCCGCCGCAGCTTCGCCGGCGAGCCACCCCGAGCGCGGGGCGCGGTGCTCACAGCCACGGTACTGGCCCGGAGGGAGGACCATGGGGCCAATTTCTCGTGTCGCGCGGAGCTGGACCTGCGGCCACACGGCCTGGGACTGTTTGAGAACAGCTCGGCCCCCAGAGAGCTCCGAACCTTCTGTGAGTGGGTGTGCGGAGATGGGACCAAGTGGGGTCAGGTCGGTGTTTATGAGGTTTAGAGGCAGATACATCTGAATGCTGGTCCTGACTTCAACCCCCACGGGCTGAGCTGTTTTCCTCTCTGTGCCTTGAGGATGATTACACGTTAAGATAGTACATGTCGAGTGCTTAGGACATACTGAGCTCTCGGAACACAAGTTCGTTGAAACTTGGTTCTTCCACCCCTAGCCCTGTCTCCAGATCCCCCGCGTCTCGCTGCTCCCCGGTTCTTGGAAGTCGGCTCAGAAAGGCCCGTGAGCTGCGCCCTGGACCGACTATTTCCAGCCACAGAGGCCAGGGTCTACCTCGCGCTGGGGGACCAGAATCTGAGTCCTGATGTCACCCTCGACGGGGACGCACTCGTGGCCACTGCCACAGCCACAGCTAGCGCAGAGCAGGAGGGTGCCAGGCAGCTGGTCTGCAACGTCACCCTGGGGGGTGAAAACCGGGAGACCCGGGAGAACGTGACCATCTACAGTAAGGAGGGAAGCGGGGTCTCCGCGGCTCGGAGACGGGGCCAGAGGAACGCGAAGGCAGGGCGACGAGTGGGCGGGACCTCAGTACCGGGAGAGGCGTGGCCCGAGTGTCCCGAAGAGGCAGGGCATGTAGTGAGCGGAGCATGTGGGGGCGGAGACGTAACCACTGGTGGGGAGGAGCCTGTGCAGCCTGAGAGGCCGGGCGCGGTACCCTAGTTTGGCCTCAGCACCCCGAGGGTTCGGGCAGATAATGGGGGGGGCCTTGACCGGCGGAAGGGGTTTGGTCAGTATACTCCGACCAATGCTCCGCCCCAGGCTTCCCGGCACCACTCCTGACCCTGAGTGAACCCAGCATTTCCGAGGGGCAGATGGTGACAGTAACCTGCGCAGCCGGGGCCCAAGCCCTGGTCATATTGGAGGGAGTTGCAGCCGCAGTCCCGGGGCAGCCCGTCCAGCTTCAGCTAAATGCTACCGAGAATGACGACAGGCGCAGCTTCTTCTGCAACGCCACCCTTGACGTGGAGGGCGAGACCCTGATCAAGAACAGGAGCGCAGAGCTTCGCGTCCTATGTGAGTTGGTGATAACCCCTCACCCTCTCTACTGGTAACTTCCAAGGACCCGCCTGATCCCTGGCCGTGTCGTGGAGGCGGGACCATTTCTCTCGGTTCACGTACGTCTAAGCCTCTGTAACCCCACGGCCTGCCCACAGACGCCCCCCGGCTGGACGATTCGGACTGCCCCAGGAGCTGGACGTGGCCCGAGGGCCCAGAGCAGACGCTACGCTGCGAGGCCCGTGGGAATCCAGAACCCACGGTGCACTGCGCGCGCTCCGACGGCGGGGCCGTGCTGGCTCTGGGCCTGCTGGGTCCGGTCACTCGGGCACTCTCAGGCACTTACCGCTGCAAGGCGGCCAATGATCAGGGCGAGGCGATCAAGGACGTGACGCTGACGGTAGAGTGTGAGTCGGGGTGCGCGGGGTGGCAGGGTGCATCTCTGGTTCAGGGTCTGGGGGCTGGCCGGCCTACAGGGAAGAGTAGGAGTAGGGTATGAGGTGTCCCTTTGGGTGGGATTGGGGAAAGATCTTGGAGGATAAAGAGACCAGGTGGGCG